CTCTCAGGGGTTTTTGATGTGTTTTTCCTCTGTGGTCTGGAGCTAAGCTCAGGTCACATGACCCGTAATCGCTGATGTCATCGCTATGGCAACGGCTGCAGGGGGAGTTCAGCTGGTCCTCCGTGGCTCCCAGTCTGAACTGGTCTCTGGTCCCAGTTTGTTCATGAAGACGGAAGCTGCAGAGGGAAGGGAAGCGTTCTGCATGCAGACATTCCACGTCCGGTCAGGGCTGCAGACGGTCGGTTCTGACCCAGATGTAGGCAGGAGTAGCAGTCCAGTACTGGTTCTGGTTCTGGTCTAATGGGACTGGGATGCGTCCCGTCTGCTGTGCTGGGATCAGCAGCTCCAATCTGAGCAGGCGCTGGATTATCTGCTGCCTGATCCTCATTAGGCCAGATTAACCACAACAGCCGGGCCTGAACTGGACCTGCAAAGAACAGGTTCTGTTCCTGGTCCTGCAGGCGGTTCTGATGCCCACCAGAACTCATGTTCTCAGCTGGAGGGAATCCTTCGAACCTGTGACCCACCTACTGAGCCCAGATCTTTTACATTTAATATTATTAGTATAGTAAATTCATTGCTTTTGACTTGGCAGGGTGGATTGCTGTATGATCCTAGCTTAACTTAGCTGAGCTTAGCTCAGGGGGCTCACTGTGACATTAGGCTATAGTGACCAGACGTCCCTAATTTTACTGTTTTATGAATGAGGGGGTAAATCTTGTGTGTAGACAGTTATTACGGTAGAAAGGGGTTCAAGGAGACAGAAACAGACATAGAAAAAGAAGCATAGATACCAAAGGCAACTGTCAACCAGCTCCACAGGCGGCCCCGTCCAGGAAACACACAGCCAGGCAGACGAGCTCCGAGCCAGCTCCCATGTCAGAGGATGAAGAGAGCACATCCAGTTAGTCACAGTCAGAGAAACAGGACTACACTGGAAAACAGGCCAAGCTCCCATGTCAGAGGATGGAGAGAGCACAGGTTTAATCTGCATTTATTAGCTGGTTTTTAATGGTAGCTCCAAATATTGTGGCGATGAACCTTTTTAGTATTTAATCAGGTGAGATAACAACAACAACAACAACAATAATAATAATAATAATAATAATAATAATAATAATAATAATAATAATATGTATGATGAGACTTAGATTGTTTTGTGTCTGTTTAGATTATTGTTAGATTGATAGAAGAGGAGAGGAAGCAGATTAGAAGACTGATGGAAAGTTAAACAGAGCAGGAAGGAGTCAGTCAGGGGCCCCAGCAGGAATATGGGGCCCCAGCAGGAATATGGGGCCCCAGCAGGAATATGGGGCCCCAGCAGGAACATGGGGCCCCAGCAGGAATATGGGGCCCCAGCAGGAATATGGGGCCCCATGAAACTCTATAGAGGAGCCAGTGCTGTAGAGATGCAGTGAAGAGAAGCATTTCCATTGTTATGTAGTGTTTATTCTAATATTTCTAGAAAGGAAAATGATCAGAACGTGAAAAAGGAAAATAGAAATTAACTTTAAACTTTAAACTTTTATCAATATAATAACCGCTTATTTAAAACTAAAATCCCAGCTGTATCTATGAACACAGGAATAGAAAACAGGTTTAGGAGTGAAAATATATTCCCATTAGGTTTAACTTTAACCTCATTAAAGGACAGATTATCTTTATGCTGAGAATTCATAGTTCATTAATCTGGACGTCTAATGACAATAAAACGTGTTTTCTTTCTGTGGCTGCTTCAGGCTGCTCATCAGAACATCCAGATTTATAGATGTTTGTTAATGGCTGCAATTTAATCTGAATATAAAAATCTAAACAGTTTAATATTGACACAGATTATAATCCAGGCTGCTGGAGGCGACTCCATGATAAACACAGTAGAAACAACTGGAAGCCGTTTCATTTTATCATTACCTTTTGAATTACGATGCAAACTGGTCTGTTCCTGAAAACAATCTAATGAAGACAGAGACGGAATAACAGATAATAAACATATTTTATTGGTTCATTTGATTTATATAAAGAAAGACGACTGGGTTTTACTCTTGATTTTTAGAGTTTAAATATTAATAGAAATGTAAAAATGGATGAAAGCGTCACTGTTTCCTATTTTAATTTGGATGAAATGTTTTTATTTTCATCCAGAAGGTGCAAATGTCTCCAGATTAGATTACAGGAATCTGTTCTCCTTAGATTAGGGAGCAGGTTTCTGACTCAGCAGAGTTAGCTCAGCATGCTAACCTTAGCTCAGCATGCTAACCTTAGCTCAGCATGCTAACCTTTGCTCAGCATGCTAACCTTAGCTCAGCATGCTAAACTTAGCTCAGCATGCTAACCTTAGCTCAGCATGCTAACCTTTGCTCAGCATGCTAACCTTAGCTCAGCATGCTAACCTTTGCTCAGCATGCTAACCTTTGCTCAGCATGCTAACCTTAGCTCAGCATGCTAACCTTTGCTCTGCATGCTAACCTTAGCTCAGCATGCTAACCTTTCCTTCCACATTATTTATTATCGTTGCTATTAGATTAAACTTTGCTCTTATTCCTCATGAGTCAAAGTAAATAAATCTTTGGATTCCTTGATTTCTGTTTCCAGTGGAAGATTTCATTCATTGTGTTTTTATCTTTTATTCATGAAATCAGTGCTTCTTTCTGACTTTGATCCTTTGATCTGTTGATCAAACATCAATGACTTTGATCTTTCCTGCTAATTAATTAGTGATCAGGTGCTGATGAACCTCGGCCTTCCAGGGCTGCAGTAGATGTGGACCAGCCTGTGGGAACGGTTCTGGAAGCGGTTCTGGTGGACCGTCCGCCCAGGAATGATCTGGGTTTTGTCTGTCAGGGTTCTGGTATCTTAGGAACCGGGTCGGACCGAAGCAGCGGCCTGGTGACGTCACGGCGAAGCTAAACAGCTCTGTTGTCTCTGAACAGTGGAGCTTTGTTCAGGCGGAAGCCCCGCCCGCCTGAGACGCTCTGTTACACACACAAACAAACCCTGAGTAGCACAGGCACATGATGACACGCGGGCTCGGATCTGAACCAGCGCCCTGATCTTCATCATCATCATCATCCTCAGCTAATGCCTGATGTTCTGATGGACCCCCCCCCCCCCACACACACTGTTCCTCCTGCAGAGCGCCTGGTTCTGGTCGGTTCTGGTTCTGCTGACCCAGAACCGACCGTCTCCTTCTGAATGGACTCCGGGTGGTCCTTTGGTCCCTCGGAGCTTCGTCTAAGAACCCTGCGGTAGAACCCAGAAGCCTGCAGTAGAACCCAGAACCCTGCGGTAGAACCCAGAAGCCTGCAGTAGAACCCAGAACCCTGCGGTAGAACCCAGAAGCCTGCAGTAGAACCCAGAACCCTGCGGTAGAACCCAGAACCCTGAAGCAGAAACCAGAACCCTGAAGCACAAACCAGAACCCTGAAGCAGAACCCAGAACCCTGAAGCAGAAACCAGAACCCTGAAGCAGAACCCAGAACCCTGAAGCAGAACCCAGAACCCTGCGGTAGAACCCAGAACCCTGCGGTAGAACCCAGAAGCCTGCAGTAGAACCCAGAACCCTGCGGTAGAACCCAGAACCCTGAAGCAGAAACCAGAACCCTGAAGCACAAACCAGAACCCTGAAGCAGAACCCAGAACCCTGAAGCAGAAACCAGAACCCTGAAGCAGAACCCAGAACCCTGAAGCAGAACCCAGAACCCTGCGGTAGAACCCAGAACCCTGCGGTAGAACCCAGAAGCCTGCAGTAGAACCCAGAACCCTGCGGTAGAACCCAGAACCCTGAAGCAGAAACCAGAACCCTGAAGCACAAACCAGAACCCTGAAGCAGAACCCAGAACCCTGAAGCAGAAACCAGAACCCTGAAGCAGAACCCAGAACCCTGAAGCAGAACCCAGAACCCTGCGGTAGAACCCAGAAGCCTGCAGTAGAACCCAGAACCCTGCGGTAGAACCCAGAAGCCTGCAGTAGAACCCAGAACCCTGCGGTAGAACCCAGAACCCTGAAGCAGAAACCAGAACCCTGAAGCACAAACCAGAACCCTGAAGCAGAACCCAGAACCCTGAAGCAGAACCCAGAAGCCTGCAGTAGAACCCAGAACCCTGCGGTAGAACCCAGAAGCCTGCAGTAGAACCCAGAACCCTGCGGTAGAACCCAGAACCCTGAAGCAGAACCCAGAACCCTGAAGCAGAAACCAGAACCCTGAAGCAGAACCCAGAACCCTGCGGTAGAACCCAGAACCCTGCAGTAGAACCCAGAACCCTGCGGTAGAACCCAGAACCCTGAAGCAGAACCCAGAACCCTGAAGCAGAAACCAGAACCCTGCGGTAGAACCCAGAACCCTGAAGCAGAAACCAGAACCCTGAAGCAGAACCCAGAACCCTGAAGCAGAACCCAGAACCCTGAAGCAGAACCCAGAACCCTGAAGCAGAAACCAGAACCCTGAAGCAGAACCCAGAAGCCTGCAGTAGAACCCAGAACCCTGAAGCAGAAACCAGAACCCTGAAGCACAAACCAGAACCCTGAAGCAGAACCCAGAACCCTGAAGCAGAAACCAGAACCCTGAAGCAGAACCCAGAACCCTGCGGTAGAACCCAGAACCCTGAAGCAGAAACCAGAACCCTGAAGCAGAACCCAGAACCCTGAAGCAGAACCCAGAACCCTGAAGCAGAAACCAGAACCCTGAAGCAGAACCCAGAAGCCTGCAGTAGAACCCAGAACCCTGCGGTAGAACCCAGAAGCCTGCAGTAGAACCCAGAACCCTGCGGTAGAACCCAGAACCCTGAAGCAGAAACCAGAACTCTGAAGCACAAACCAGAACCCTGAAGCAGAACCCAGAACCCTGAAGCAGAAACCAGAACCCTGAAGCAGAACCCAGAACCCTGCGGTAGAACCCAGAACCCTGAAGCAGAACCCTGAAGCAGAAACCAGAACCCTGAAGCAGAACCCTGAACCCAGAACCCTGAAGCAGAAACCAGAACCCTGAAGCAGAACCCTGCAGTAGAACCCAGAACCCTGAAGCAGAACCCTGAAGCAGAACCCTGAACCCTGAAGCAGAACCATGCTGTAGAACTTAGATGAGCTTCAGATAGATTAGAACTTATGTTGTCAATAGAGGAGCAGGAAAAAACGTTCCTGTGTCTCCCTGATGGATCAGAACCTGGAGAACCTGAGCAGAACCTGTGGCTTACTCGGGGCAGGCCTTTCTTTGTGTAAGGCTGAGCGTCTCCATGGAAACGGAGGGTGTGATCAGACGGTTGTTGGCTGAGGGCGGCGCTCTGGGTAAACATTTGTAGAAGGACTTTGGACCGTTTGGAGCTCTGAACCAATCAGAGTCTCTGACTGACCCTCATCCACCAATCACAGACCTGAACCTTGTTTGAAAGCTGAAACCCAGTCAGGCTGGCCGATCCGGTCCGGTCCAGAAGCCAGTAGGAACATCTGGATGTTCTCAGTGGAACAGATTAGCCAATCAGAACCTTCCTCTGGACACAGAAGCGTCCAGAACCAGAACCCAGCAGGTTCCTCCAGGGGGGAAGAACCAGGAACTAACTGAAGATGTTTTATTGTTTGGTTCCTCTGGTTCAGAACCGCTCTGAACCGGAACCCTGAGGTCCCACCCCATGAGCTGCCTGCTGGAGGTCTGAGGGCAGAGCCAGAACCTCATGGGGTCTGTGGAGCTTCCTCCTCCTCCTCCTCCTTCTAGGACTCCTCCTCTTCCTCAGTTGCTGTTCAAACCTTCATCATTTCAGACCTTCAGGCAGACGGATCGGGTCAGACTGGGAACTTGGTTCTGGGATTCTTTGAGGGTAGATGGGCTATCAGAGGTGGAGGACTCGGGCCGGAGGAGGAGGAGGAGGTGATGGTGCTGTGGTCAGGTGTTCATGTTCAGACGAGAAGGTGAGGATCTCCTTCAGGAGCTCTGGAGACGACTGGCAGCTCAGACGGCTGTTTGTGCGGCGCTGGTTGGGTGAGTGGTTCCAGGACCGACCGGACCTGTTTAATTCCTCAATGACCATCAGAACCAAGCAGAACCTGGACTTCCTGGTTCCACTTGGAGCAGCTTCAGATGCTTTTCTGCCTTCAGAGTTCTGCCTGGTTCTGGTCAGACCCCAGAGTTCTGCCTGGTTCTGGTCAGACCCCAGAGTTCTGCCTGGTTCTAGTCAGACCCCAGAGTTCTGCCTGGTTCTAGTCAGACCCCAGAGTTCTGCCTGGTTCTGGTCAGACCCCAGAGTTCTGCCTGGTTCTGGTCAGACCCCAGAGTTCTGCCTGGTTCTGGTCAGACCCCAGAGTTCTGCCTGGTTCTAGTCAGACCCCAGAGTTCTGCCTGGTTCTAGTCAGACCCCAGAGTTCTGCCTGGTTCTGGTCAGACCCCAGAGTTCTGCCTGGTTCTGGTCAGACTCCAAAGTTCTGCCTGGTTCTGGTCAGACCCCAGAGTTCTGCCTGGTTCTGGTCAGACCCCAGAGTTCTGCCTGGTTCTGGTCAGGCTCCAAAGTTCTGCCTGGTTCTGGTCAGACTTCAAAGTTCTGCCTGGTTCTGGTCAGACCCCAGAGTTCTGCCTGGTTCTGGTCAGACCCCAGAGTTCTGCCTGGTTCTGGTCAGACTCCAAAGTTCTGCCTGGTTCTGGTCAGACTCCAAAGTTCTGCCTGGTTCTGGTCAGACTCCAGAGTTCTGCCTGGTTCTGGTCAGACCCCAGAGTTCTGCCTGGTTCTGGTCAGACCCTAGAGTTCTGCCTGGTTCTGGTCAGACCCTAGAGTTCTGTCTGGTTCTGGTCAGACCCTAGAGCTCTGCCTGGTTCTGGTCAGACCCTAGAGTTCTGCCTGGTTCTGGTCAGACCCTAGAGTTCTGTCTGGTTCTGGTCAGACCCTAGAGTTCTGCCTGGTTCTGGTCAGACCCTAGAGTTCTGTCTGGTTCTGGTCAGACCCTAGAGCTCTGCCTGGTTCTGGTCAGACCCCAGAGTTCTGCCTGGTTCTGGTCAGACCCCAGAGTTCTGCCTGGTTCTGGTCAGACCCTAGAGTTCTGTCTGGTTCTGGTCAGACCCTAGAGCTCTGCCTGGTTCTGGTCAGACCCCAGAGTTCTGCCTGGTTCTGGTCAGACCCCAGAGTTCTGCCTGGTTCTGGTCAGACCCCAAAGTTCTGCCTGGTTCTGGTCAGACTCCAAAGTTCTGCCTGGTTCTGGTCAGACCCCAGAGTTCTGCCTGGTTCTGGTCAGACCCCAGAGTTCTGCCTGGTTCTGGTCAGACTCCAAAGTTCTGCCTGGTTCTGGTCAGACTCCAAAGTTCTGCCTGGTTCTGGTCAGACCCCAGAGTTCTGCCTGGTTCTGGTCAGACCCCAAAGTTCTGCCTGGTTCTGGTCAGACCCCAGAGTTCTGCCTGGTTCTGGTCTAACAGAACCAGGGTTTCAGTGTTTGAATGTAAACTCTGAGAGCTGATTGGTTCTCTGGACTCTTATCAGCTCCATAAGCCCCGCCCCTCCTTCCTGAGGATCAGTGAACGCCTCACTGAGCAGCAGGAAGAAGAATGTTTTTATTCAAACACTCCTCTGCCGGTTGGCCCCTCTGGGTCCCTGAGCTGCTCCCTGCTCCTTCTGGAATTCAGGCTTCCTCAGGGGTTCCTCAGGCTTCCTCAGGGGTTCCTCAGGCTTCCTCAGGGGTTCCTCAGGGGTTCCTCAGGGGTTCCTCAGGCTTCCTCAGGGGTTCCTCAGGGGTTCCTCAGGCTTCCTCAGGGGTTCCTCAGGCTTCCTCAGGGGTTCCTCAGGGGTTCCTCAGGCTTCCTCAGGGGTTCCTCAGGAGTCCTCAGGGGTTCCTCAGGCTTCCTCAGGGGTTCCTCAGGGGTTCCTCAGGCTTCCTCAGGGGTTCCTCAGGGGTTCCTCAGGCTTCCTCAGGGGTTCCTCAGGGGTTCCTCAGGCTTCCTCAGGGGTTCCTCAGGCTTCCTCAGGCTTCCTCAGGGGTTCCTCAGGAGTCCTCAGGGTTCCTCAGGGGTCCCTCGGGGTCCCTCGGGGTTCCTCAGGCTTCCTCAGGGGTTCCTCAGGCTTCCTCAGGGGTTCCTCGGGGGTTCCTCAGGGGTTCCTCAGGAGTCCTCAGGGTTCCTCAGGGGTTCCTCAGGATTCCTCAGGGGTTCCTGGCCACTGGTTCTTTCCCAGTCTGTGCTGGTCACCAGGCGTGTTTCCTGTTAGGATCTAATCACTGCTTTTGAACTCCTCTCATCTAGTTTTTATACATCTGTCCGTCTGTCTCATTTTCATCCAACAGTTAAATTTGATCTGAAGTGATAAACTAGAAATAAACTAGAAATAGTTCATCTGGGGGGGGGGGGCATCTTTATATATATAGGGCGGGGACTCAACCTTGCGCCATGTTTCTTCTCTCTCGCCCCCAAAACGAATCCTATGATGCTTTGCCAAGAGAGGTGCATTGTGGGAATTTTCATTTTGAGTCCAGTTCAGACAGTCATATAAAATGGCCCCCAGCCCTCTATGGAGGGGTGAGGCCCCTAAACACCAACCCTCGCTTCCCACAGAGGGTCTGACACATTAAGGGCCGTCCCTAACCTGGGAGGGGGGGGGGTATTTCATAATAATGATGTCATCATTACTATAAATGACACTTTTGCCATTTAATGACTCCCAGTACCCTGATGCACAACTTGGAGAGGTGTGTGCGTCCCCCCAGCTGTGGGCTTTACACTTGGCGCCCTTGAGGGTCCCTGCTGGTTGCAGTACCAGGTTAGACTGATAGGGGGCAGCACCATCAGGCTCAGCTGTTCATTTCCTTTTTTACCATGTTCCTCAGAGTCGCCCCGCCTCTCCACCGCCTCCATCAGCAGCGATGAGCGCGCTCTGTCTGCCACCCCCTCAGACTCTGACCCGCCGCCATCGGGACGGCGCCCTGTGAGCCTGGTCTCCACGCTGTCGTCGGGATCGGGCTCCTCCAGGGACGACTCCCTGACCTCGCCTCAGGTTTCTGAGGGGTCCTCCGGCACCGACCTGAACCAGAACCCGAGTCCTAAAAAGAAGGGGCGGAGCTTCTTTCACAACAAGAACAACAACAACAAGGCGTGGACGCCAAACCGGGCCCCGAGCCGCCGCCAGCCCTTCGTAGGCGCTACCATGGCACCCAATCCCCAGCTAACCTATCTGGACCGAGTCGTCATGGAGATCATCGAGACTGAGAGGATGTACGTCAGAGACCTGAGGATGATCGTAGAGGTGAGTGACGGCTCTTCTTCCATCCATCGTCCTTCAGTTTGGACCGGGTCCTTCAGAACCGGGACGGTCGCAGCAGATTGGGATTAAAGAAGCGATAATTTCAGGATGATCAGGATGATTCCAGGACGGGTAGAAACATTCCCCGCTTTGAAATCCGCTTTGTACCCGTCACTATGACTAGTAGCTCCGTTCCTCAACTGGACCCAGAGTTCTGCTCAGAACCGGGAGGACCAGAGGACAGGCTGGTGGTGGAGGAAGTTCCTGGATTAGCAGATTAGGGTGGATTAGCAGAGAGAGAGATGTGGAGCATGGAACGGTTCTGCTCCGGGGGGACCCGGATCAGAACCGTTCCATGGAACCACAGTAGAGAAAAAAGAACAGGTCTGATTGTAGGAATCAATGTTTGCTTTAAAGGCTTCATGGGAATCATTCAGTCAGGTCTTAGTCTGCCCCCTGGTGGAGAAAAATCTGCTTCGTTCTTCCTGAGACCAAAGGAAGGAGGCAGCGACCTCTGACCTTCACCGGCTCTGCTTGCTCCTCCTACAGCATTACCTCGCTCACATCATCGATGAGTCGGACCTGTCCAACCACCCGGAGCTGGTCTGCGCTCTCTTTGGAAACATCGAGGACATCTACGAGCTCAACAGGTGAGGAGGAGCTAAATGAACATGGGAGGTGCAGAGCAGGAGGTAAATGAACATGGGAGGCGCAGAGCAGGAGGTAAATGAACATAGGAGGTGCAGAGAAGGAGGTAAATGAACATGGGTGGTGCAGAGCAGGAGGTAAATGAACATGGGAAGTGCAGAGCAGGAGGTAAATGAACATGGGAGGCGCAGAGCAGGAGGTAAATGAACGTGGGAGGCGCAGAGCAGGAGGTAAATGAACGTGGGAGGCGCAGAGCAGGAGGTAAATGAACATGGGAGGTGCAGAGCAGGAGCTAAATGAACGTGGGAGGTGCAGAGCAGGAGGTAAATGAACATGGGAGGTGCAGAGCAGGAGGTAAATGAACATGGGAGGTGCAGAGCAGGAGGTAAATGAACATGGGTGGTTCAGAGCAGGAGGTAAATGAAGGTGGGAGGTGCAGAGCAGGAGGTAAATGAACATGGGAGGTGCAGAGCAGGAGGTAAATGAACGTGGGAGGCGCAGAGCAGGAGGTAAATGAACGTGGGAGGTGCAGAGCAGGAGGTAAATGAACATGGGAGGTGCAGAGCAGGAGGTAAATGAACGTGGGAGGTGCAGAGCAGGAGCTAAATGAACGTGGGAGGTGCAGAGCAGGAGGTAAATAAACGTGGGAGGTGCAGAGCAGGAGGTAAATGAACGTGGGAGGTGCAGAGCAGGAGCTAAATGAACGTGGGAGGCGCAGAGCAGGAGGTAAATGAACATGGGTGGTTCAGAGCAGGAGGTAAATGAACATGGGAGGTGCAGAGCAGGAGGTAAATGAAGGTGGGAGGTGCAGAGCAGGAGGTAAATGAACATGGGAGGTGCAGAGCAGGAGGTAAATGAACATGGGAGGTGCAGAGCAGGAGGTAAATGAACATGGGAGGTGCAGAGCAGGAGGTAAATGAAGGTGGGAGGTGCAGAGCAGGAGGTAAATGAACATGGGAGGTGCAGAGCAGGAGGTAAATGAACATGGGAGGTGCAGAGCAGGAGGTAAATGAACGTGGGAGGCGCAGAGCAGGAGGTAAATGAAGGTGGGAGGTGCAGAGCAGGAGGTAAATGAACATGGGAGGTGCAGAGCAGGAGGTAAATGAACGTGGGAGGTTCAGAGCAGGCGGTAAATGAACATGGGAGGTTCAGAGCAGGAGGTAAATGAAGGTGGGAGGTGCAGAGCAGGAGGTAAATGAACATGGGAGGTTCAGAGCAGGAGGTAAATGAAGGTGGGAGGCGCAGAGCAGGAGGTAAATGAACATGGGAGGTGCAGAGCAGGAGGTAAATGAACATGGGAGGTGCAGAGCAGGAGGTAAATGAAGGTGGGAGGTGCAGAGCAGGAGGTAAATGAACATGGGAGGTTCAGAGCAGGAGGTAAATGAAGGTGGGAGGCGCAGAGCAGGAGGTAAATGAACATGGGAGGTGCAGAGCAGGAGGTAAATGAATGTGGGAGGCACAGAGCAGGAGGTAAATGAACATGGGAGGCGCAGAGCAGGAGGTAAATGAACATGGGAGGCGCAGAGCAGGAGGTAAATGAACATGGGAGGTGCAGAGCAGGAGGTAAATGAACATGGGAGGCGCAGAGCAGGAGGTAAATGAACGTGGGAGGCGCAGAGCAGGAGGTAAATGAACGTGGGAGGTGCAGAGCAGGAGGTAAATGAACATGGGAGGTGCAGAGCAGGAGGTAAATGAACATGGGAGGTGCAGAGCAGGAGGTAAATGAACGTGGGAGGCGCAGAGCAGGAGCTAAATGAACGTGGGAGGCGCAGAGCAGGAGGTAAATGAACATGGGTGGTTCAGAGCAGGAGGTAAATGAACATGGGAGGTGCAGAGCAGGAGGTAAATGAAGGTGGGAGGTGCAGAGCAGGAGCTAAATGAACATGGGAGGTGCAGAGCAGGAGGTAAATGAACATGGGAGGTGCAGAGCAGGAGGTAAATGAACATGGGTGGTTCAGAGCAGGAGGTAAATGAACATGGGAGGCGCAGAGCAGGAGGTAAATGAAGGTGGGAGGTGCAGAGCAGGAGGTAAATGAACATGGGAGGTGCAGAGCAGGAGGTAAATGAACGTGGGAGGTTCAGAGCAGGTGGTAAATGAACATGGGAGGTTCAGAGCAGGAGGTAAATGAAGGTGGGAGGTGCAGAGCAGGAGGTAAATGAACATGGGAGGCGCAGAGCAGGAGGTAAATGAAGGTGGGAGGTGCAGAGCAGGAGGTAAATAAACATGGGAGGTTCAGAGCAGGAGGTAAATGAACATGGGAGGCGCAGAGCAGGAGGTAAATGAACGTGGGAGGTGCAGAGCAGGAGGTAAATGAAGGTGGGAGGTGCAGAGCAGGAGGTAAATGAACATGGGAGGTTCAGAGCAGGAGGTAAATGAACATGGGAGGTTCAGAGCAGGAGGTAAATGAAGGTGGGAGGTGCAGAGCAGGAGGTAAATAAACATGGGAGGTGCAGAGCAGGAGGTAAATGAACATGGGAGGCGCAGAGCAGGAGGTAAATGAACGTGGGAGGTGCAGAGCAGGAGGTAAATGAAGGTGGGAGGTGCAGAGCAGGAGGTAAATGAACATGGGAGGTTCAGAGCAGGAGGTAAATGAAGGTGGGAGGTTCAGAGCAGGAGGTAAATGAAGGTGGGAGGCGCAGAGCAGGAGGTAAATGAACATGGGAGGTGCAGAGCAGGAGGTAAATGAACATGGGAGGTGCAGAGCAGGAGGTAAATGAATGTGGGAGGCGCAGAGCAGGAGGTAAATGAACACGGGAGGCGCAGAGCAGGAGGTAAATGAACATGGGAGGTGCAGAGCAGGAGGTAAATGAAGGTGGGAGGTGCAGAGCAGGAGGTAAATAAACATGGGAGGTGCAGATCAGGAGGTAAATGAACATGGGAGGTGCAGAGCAGGAGGTAAATGAATGTGGGAGGCGCAGAGCAGGAGGTAAATGAACATGGGAGGTGCAGAGCAGGAGGTAAATGAATATGGGTGGTGCAGAGCAGGAGGTAAATGAAGGTGGGAGGCGCAGAGCAGGAGGTAAATGAACATGGGAGGTGCAGAGCAGGAGGTAAATGAACATGGGAGGTGCAGAGCAGGAGGTAAATGAATGTGGGAGGCGCAGAGCAGGAGGTAAATGAACATGGGAGGTGCAGAGCAGGAGGTAAATGAACGTGGGAGGTGCAGAGCAGGAGGTAAATGAACATGGGAGGTGCAGAGCAGGAGGTAAATGAACGTGGGAGGTGCAGAGCAGGAGGTAAATGAACATGGGAGGTGCAGAGCAGGAGGTAAATGAATGTGGGAGGCGCAGAGCAGGAGGTAAATGAACATGGGAGGTGCAGAGCAGGAGCTAAATGAACATGGGAGGTGCAGAGCAGGAGGTAAATGAAGGTGGGAGGTTCAGAGCAGGAGGTAAATGAACATGGGAGGCGCAGAGCAGGAGGTAAATGAAGGTGGGAGGTTCAGAGCAGGAGCTAAATGAACATGGGAGGTGCAGAGCAGGAGGTAAATGAACATGGGAGGCGCAGAGCAGGAGGTAAATGAACGTGGGAGGTGCAGAGCAGGAGCTAAATGAACATGGGAGGTGCAGAGCAGGAGGTAAATGAAGGTGGGAGGTTCAGAGCAGGAGGTAAATGAACATGGGAGGCGCAGAGCAGGAGGTAAATGAAGGTGGGAGGTTCAGAGCAGGAGGTAAATGAACATGGGAGGTGCAGAGCAGGAGGTAAATGAAGGTGGGAGGTTCAGAGCAGGAGGTAAATGAACATGGGAGGTGCAGAGCAGGAGGTAAATGAAGGTGGGAGGTTCAGAGCAGGAGGTAAATGAATATGGGTGGTGCAGAGCAGGAGGTAAATGAAGGTGGGAGGTGCAGAGCAGGAGGTAAATGAACATGGGAGGTGCAGAGCAGGAGGTAAATGAACGTGGGAGGCGCAGAGCAGGAGGTAAATGAACGTGGGAGGCGCAGAGCAGGAGGTAAATGAACGTGGGAGGCGCAGAGCAGGAGGTAAATGAACGTGGGAGGCGCAGAGCAGGAGGTAAATGAACATGGGAGGCGCAGAGCAGGAGGTAAATGAACATGGGAGGTGCAGAGCAGGAGGTAAATGAACGTGGGAGGCGCAGAGCAGGAGGTAAATGAACGTGGGAGGCGCAGAGCAGGAGGTAAATGAACGTGGGAGGTGCAGAGCAGGAGGTAAATGAACATGGGAGGCGCAGAGCAGGAGGTAAATGAACGTGGGAGGTGCAGAGCAGGAGGTAAATGAACATGGGAGGTGCAGAGCAGGAGGTAAATGAACGTGGGAGGCGCAGAGCAGGAGCTAAATGAACGTGGGAGGCGCAGAGCAGGAGGTAAATGAACATGGGTGGTTCAGAGCAGGAGGTAAATGAACATGGGAGGTGCAGAGCAGGAGGTAAATGAACATGGGAGGTGCAGAGCAGGAGGTAAATGAACGTGGGAGGCGCAGAGCAGGAGCTAAATGAACGTGGGAGGCGCAGAGCAGGAGGTAAATGAACATGGGTGGTTCAGAGCAGGAGGTAAATGAACATGGGAGGTGCAGAGCAGGAGGTAAATGAACATGGGAGGTGCAGAGCAGGAGGTAAATGAACGTGGGAGGTTCAGAGCAGGAGGTAAATGAAGGTGGGAGGTGCAGAGCAGGAGGTAAATGAACATGGGAGGTTCAGAGCAGGAGGTAAATGAACATGGGAGGTGCAGAGCAGGAGGTAAATGAACATGGGAGGTGCAGAGCAGGAGGTAAATGAACGTGGGAGGCGCAGAGCAGGAGCTAAATGAACGTGGGAGGCGCAGAGCAGGAGGTAAATGAACATGGGTGGTTCAGAGCAGGAGGTAAATGAACATGGGAGGTGCAGAGCAGGAGGTAAATGAACATGGGAGGTGCAGAGCAGGAGGTAAATGAACGTGGGAGGTTCAGAGCAGGAGGTAAATGAAGGTGGGAGGTGCAGAGCAGGAGGTAAATGAACATGGGAGGCTCAGAGCAGGAGGTAAATGAAGGTGGGAGGTGCAGAGCAGGAGGTAAATAAACATGGGAGGTGCAGAGCAGGAGGTAAATGAACATGGGAGGTTCAGAGCAGGAGGTAAATGAAGGTGGGAGGTGCAGAGCAGGAGGTAAATGAACATGGGAGGCGCAGAGCAGGAGGTAAATGAAGGTGGGAGGTGCAGAGCAGGAGGTAAATAAACATGGGAGGTTCAGAGCAGGAGGTAAATGAAGGTGGGAGGTTCAGAGCAGGAGGTAAATGAACATGGGAGGTTCAGAGCAGGAGGTAAATGAAGGTGGGAGGCGCAGAGCAGGAGGTAAATGAAGGTGGGAGGCGCAGAGCAGGAGGTAAATGAAGGTGGGAGGTGCAGAGCAGGAGGTAAATAAACATGGGAGGTTCAGAGCAGGAGGTAAATGAAGGTGGGAGGCGCAGAGCAGGAGGTAAATGAAGGTGGGAGGTGCAGAGCAGGAGGTAAATGAACATGGGAGGCGCAGAGCAGGAGGTAAATGAAGGTGGGAGGTGCAGAGCAGGAGGTAAATGAACATGGGAGGCGCAGAGCAGGAGGTAAATGAAGGTGGGAGGTTCAGAGCAGGAGCTAAATGAACATGGGAGGCGCAGAGCAGGAGGTAAATGAAGGTGGGAGGTGCAGAGCAGGAGGTAAATGAACATGGGAGGTTCAGAGCAGGAGGTAAATGAAGGTGGGAGGTTCAGAGCAGGAGGTAAATGAAGGTGGGAGGCGCAGAGCAGGAGGTAAATGAACATGGGAGGTGCAGAGCAGGAGGTAAATGAACATGGGAGGTGCAGAGCAGGAGGTAAATGAACATGGGAGGCGCAGAGCAGGAGGTAAATGAACATGGGAGGCGCAGAGCAGGAGGTAAATGAACATGGGAGGTGCAGAGCAGGAGGTAAATGAACATGGGAGGTGCAGAGCAGGAGGTAAATGAAGGTGGGAGGTGCAGAGCAGGAGGTAAATGAACATGGGAGGTTCAGAGCAGGAGGTAAATGAAGGTGGGAGGCGCAGAGCAGGAGGTAAATGAACATGGGAGGTGCAGAGCAGGAGTTGACCCAGCAGCCGCTGTCCTTTTCACAGTGAGCTCCTGCAGGACCTGGAGGTGTGCGACGGCGACCCCGTGGCCATCGCCCGCTGCTTCGTCATGAAGGTGAGATTTAACCAGCTTTAGGTTCTGTTAGGCTCCGCCCATCAAGGTCTTGGTCATCTGTTAGGCTCCGCCCATCAAGGTCTTCATCATGTTTGTTTGTTCCAGAGCCAAGACTTTGACATCTACACCCAGTACTGCACCAACTACCCGAAGTAAGTCCTCATCTCAGCCTGCACCTCCTGTTCATTTCTCCTCCTTGTTTCTCCTCACCTGTTCATTTCTCCTCCTTGTTTCTCCTCACCTGTTCATCTCTCCTCCTTGTTTCTCCTCACCTGTTTATTTCTCCTCCTTGTTTTC